CAGCAGCAGCAGCAGCAGCAGCAGCAGCAGCAGCAGCAGCAGCAGCAGCAGCAGCAGCAGACGCTTCTCTGAGGAGCAGCAGCGCGAGGACTTTGTCTGCGAAGTCGAGCTGCACAATCGAGCGCGCCTGGCGGTCGTCCCAAAGCACGCAAGTGCTTTCTCTCCAGAGTTCTCCGTGGCCTTCTGAAATAAAAATAAATAAATAAATAAATAAATAAATAAATAAATAAATAATTAATTAATTAATTAATTAATTAATTAATTTAATTAATTAATTAATTAATTAATTTGTTTTTTAATTTGCTTTAATTTGATGTAATTTGTCTTTTTTGTTGGTTGATTGCGCGATTTGATTTGCGTTTGAGGGGAAAGGAAAAAAGTTGGAAAATAAAAAAAGAATTTGAAAGAAAAAAAAAAGGAAAAAAGGAAATAAAAAGAAGAGAGAACATCGGGGCTGAATAGAGGGTTTGGAGAGGTTTCAAACCCCTCTTTTAGGGTTTTAAAAACCCTAAAAAAGGGTTTTGAAACCCTAAATTGGCGAATAAATCCAACTCACTCCCCACCACTCCCAATATGTTGCAAGTGTAGAGCATTTCCACCAAAGAGATGCAGCAGCGGCTTTCCTCCTCAGAGTCTTCCCCGCGGCAGGGGATCAGCTCTGCAGCCAAACCCTAAACCCTAAACCCTAAACCCTAAACCCTAAACCCTAAACCCTAAACCCTAGCCCTAGCCCTAGACAGGGGCCCCCAAGCGCTGCAGAAGGGGCCCGGGGGGCTGGGGCCTCGGGAGAAGCCTGGGAAGCGCAGCGAACGCCGCAGGCGCGCGGCCTAGGGTTTAGGGTTTAGGGTTTAGGGTTTAGGGTTTAGGGTTTGGACCTCTCTGGAAGGTCTTCTTGAAAGGCTCCGTGCTGTAAACCACAAACCCTCGACGAGTTGCTGCAACAATGCAGCGAGTGTTTTGGTTTAAAGCAGCATAGCCAATTCCCCCAACTCCAAAACCCTCCGAGGGGCCCCCGGGGCCCCCGGGGGCCCCCCGGGGGCCCCCGGGGCCCCTCGGCGAGGCCCCGGGGCCCCCAGGGGGGGAGATGCGGATTCCCCGCACAGACATCTGCCTGCTGCTGCTGCTGCTGCTGCTGCTGCTGCTGCTGTTGGTGGTGGTGCTGCTGCTGCTGCTGCGGCGGCCGGGGCTGCTGTGGCTTCCTCGGGGGCCGCGGTATTCTGCTGCCTCGGGCTCTGCTGCTGCTGCTGCTGACGAAGAAGGGAACCAGCTGGTGCTGCGGCAGCAGCAGCAGCCGCTGCTGCTGTTGCAGCAGCCGCTGCTGCTGCTGCTGCGCTGCTCGGCGTGCCCTGCTGCTATTTGCTGCTGTTCATTTGATGTTCTGCGGCCTTCAGGAGATTAAACAAAGTCATTGCGACGCCGCGCTGCTGCTTGAGGTGTACGTACACCGCAACACTGCAGGGGCCCCCGGCGTGGCAGCGTTGTTGCTGCTGCTGCTGCTGTTCTCGCTGCAGAAACTTCCGCTGCTGCTGCCGCTGCTGCTGTTCGTGCTGCTGTTACCGCCTCTGAGGGCCCAAGAGCCAAAAATAAAACAAAAAGAAAACAAAATGAGACAAACAAAAGACAATAACGGCGAGTTGAGGGTCGCGAGGTGTACGTACACCTCAGGCTCGCCGTAGCTGCTCCCTCTCCGCGCCCTGGCTGGGGCCCCCGGCAGCCCCTTCTTTGAGCTCTAATGTTAATCAATTTCCCCTTTTAATTAAATTTAATTAAATAAACAAAAGACATGAACAAAGAACAGCAGTCAAACGAATAAACAGTCGACGGCAGCAGCAGCACCGCCGCAGCCGCAGCTGCAGCGCGAGGCAGCGCCGGCAGCAGCAGCAGCAACAGCAGCAGCAGCAGCACCTTCGCCCATATAAACTGCCCCTAAACAGCGACTGAGCCCAACAGAACTCAGCCAATAAATCTGCTGCAGCATTTCAGGTGTATCTACAGCCCCCAACCCCACGAGCTGTACATACACCCCAACATAACATCCACAGAAGGGCTTTCTGCTGCCTTGGGGGCCCCCGGGGCCCCCTGAGGGCCCCCTGGGGTCCCTTAGGGGCCCCTTGGGGGCCCCCTGGGGGCCCCCGAGGGGCCCCCTAGGGGCCCCCAAGGGCCCCCTGGGGGGCCCCCCGGGGATTGAGGATTCTCAGAAGCAGCAGAGACCCCCCAAGGCCTCAAAAGAGGATCCCCGATCCCAGAAAGGCTTTTAGCTGCTGCAGAAGTTCTCTGTGGGCTGCTGCTGCCAGCTGCTGCTGCCAGCTGCTGCTGCGGCCTAAACAGCTCTTTGCTGCTGCTGCAGTGCAGCAGGTGTTTAGTAATAACAGCAGCTTAGTACCAGAGAAGACCAGTCCAGCAGCAGCAGCAGCAACAGCAGCAGCAGCTCGTGCAGCAAAAGCAGAGGCAACAGCAAGAGCAGCAGCAGCTATTGCAGCAAAAGCTGCAGCAGAAGCAAGAGCAGCAGCAGATACTACAGCAAAAACTGCAGCAGCAACAGCAGCAGCGCGTAGTGCAGCGAAAGCTGCAGAAGCAGCAAGAGCAGCAGCAAACAGTGCAGCAGAGGCTGCAGCAGCAGCAATAGCAGCAGCAGCTAGTGCAGCGAAAGTTACAGCAACAGCAGCAGCAGCAGCAAGAGCAGCGAAAGCCGCCGCAGCAGCAGAAGCAGCAAAAGCTGCAGCAGCAGCAAGAGCAGCAACAGTTCCTGCTGCTGCTCCCCACCCCCAGGCTTGAGGGTTTCGACTTGCTGCTGCTGCAGCTGCTGCTGCTGAGGGTACTCCCCACAGCAGCAGCCGCAAACCCTGTGGGTTTTTTCGCTGCTTCTTGAAGCCACAAAGTCTAGGGTTTAGGGTTTAGGGTTTAGGGTTTAGGGTTTGAGACCCACGCCGTGCTCTTGGCTGTTTTGTTTTATCTCTGTTTCTATCTGATTTCCCAGGCCCTAAACCCTAAACCCTAAACCCTAAACCCTAAACCCTAAACCCTAAACCCTAAACCCTAAACCCTAAACCCTAAACCCTAAA